TTTCCCCCCCCCCCCCCCCATCAAGGCGTAGCAAGACAACAAATGGCTACCTCACCGATCCAAGAATTCATTTTACCAGCCTTTGCTAAGATATCCTCCTCCTCCTTCTCTTCCTCCCAAGACTCCCTCCCAGATGCCACAATCTCAAGGCAACTTTTCAGGTTGCCGCACCGGACTAGATCTACGACCGCCGAATTAGCTCTTTTTCTGCTCGTCGGACCGAGTGGGCGGCGGCGGGATGGCTGACACTAACCCTCGGGCTCGGGGATATCCCGGAAAGGTACCAGGACCTTCCTTGGCCGGACCGGCCCGAGCGTCTGTGTGCCGACGAGGAAGTTGTTCGCGGCGTTTGCGAACGTGGCCTTGACAATTACCATGCTCACAAAAGGGTTGGCTCGTCGCCTTGCCATATCGCCCCCCCTCCACAGATAAAGTCGATACTTGCTTCGTGCTTGATCGCAGTGTCCTCAGTGTCCTCGCCCATCCACCCTCCGTCCCTGCATCATCCACTCTCCGCCCAAGTTACCGATCGCCACCGCCGAGGCAGTGCCTTCAACCGCCCACCTGCTAGTTCGTGTTTCAGCTCCATACATCAAGAACGCCTTCCCCCCAAGGGCGTACTTACATACGGGCTCTGATATTCATCTTTCCTTCTGCTCCTCCCCCAGCCACTAACGTCCCCATGTCTCTCATGTCCCCTCTCCCCGTCTATTCGTTCTCCCGCGAGACTACCTCGGTAAGTCTTCAACCCAACATTAAGACCGTATCAATGTTGATGGTTCATTCTGATGGCCCTCCCTCGACATGCATTGGCAGGCTGTGGAGACACAAGCTTGGATTGATGAATCGTCATCAGCAGCATCCATTTTGGAGATGGACTACGACAGCGATGACGACCTCGTTCAGGACGATTTGGTCCCACCTGCATATTGCCAGGACTCAACTTCACCGCCTTACACTCCCGTTCCTACAACCACGCACCTGCATGCGCTAGATGCACCAGGTCAGACTCCTTACCTCGAATCCATATCTGAAGACGACGACGACGACGACGAATACGACGATGACGACGCCACGCTCCATGAGGAACCCTTGATCGCCCCCGACGTACCTTTGAATCAGTCGCGCGCATCAATTGATTGTAGCTTGTTGGCATTCGCTCCGTATTTCGACGTATCCTGTCTGGACGCCCTGGACGATCTTCTCCTTTCTTCTCCAACGGACTCGTTTGCCAACGTGTGCTACGAACAATCCATCTACGAAGCTGACTGTAGCACATCGGACACGGAACCTGGGATGTCTGAGACGTCTTTCGCCGGCGAGGTTGAGCCTGAGACTCAACAAGAGGAAGTGGACACTCCAGCCAGGGTAGATGAGACTTCCGAAGATGCGGAACGTTGGAGGCCTACCCATGCTGGCATGGATTCATGGCAAACTCTCGCTGCGTTTTCAGAGTTCCACAAGGCATTAGGAGCTGCGCCAGATACCAACGAAGAGCCTATCAAGTTATCACCAAGGATAGAGGCATTTATAATGCCGACCTGGGAGGGGGACCAGGAGATAAAGACGACCTCTCTCGACGACATGCACGATATACAGACGGCACAACGGATTCAATTTGTGAGTACCATTTAGTTCCATTCATGGTTATAGGTCTTAATCTCCTCTATTAGACGAATCTCCCATGTGCCGCTAAGAGTACGCCGGCTTTGGAAAACCGAGCGTTGTACGATACGAATATGTATCCATTTTCACGCACTCTCCCTGATCCTACACAATCAGTACATTTCTTCCCCAAGTGGGCAGGGGAGCCGATACGGAAAGAGCGAGGAGCTCTCAAAGGGTCGACAAACGCTGTCCTGCGCGGTCTAGCGGGGCTCCGAGCGCGTTCTGGGTTGTTCCGGTAATTGGCTCATCTGCTCTGCGCTTTCCACTCCCTTTTTTGGCATTCGCATTCTCTCGGTGTTGTCCAGCTTACTGTCTTGCTGTGCTATCATCTGCACCTCATCACCCTCCCTGTTCCAGGCGTCTGTTCTCCTCACATCTTACGACACAACTGTCCATCTTGCATCGCATTGGCTCTCCTCACTCGTTCACCATCTACCATCGCCTTCGTTCACATGTGTTCGGTTTTCGTCAACGGAATTTCGTCTCTCCTCATCGCTGCTGTACGATGTACATCAGCTGGCTTTACGATGCGCACTCAGTATACGCGCCCGCTTGAACCCTATGCTATCTTCGTCTACTAGTGCTGCATTGCAGCGCCGCCCCACTCCCCCGATGCATCCCTGGTGGTGCTTGGTCGCGCATGTCGCGGACAGGTTTCGTTGTACAAAAGTGTTGTCAGTGCTCGGCCTACAGTGCCGAGCCGTCGTGCAGTGTACCATAATACGATCGCTACACGTGTCCATCCCTACTTACGCTTGTCTATTGCTACTCGTAATTGGCCTCCGCGTTATGGTATAATTGTCATCTGGATTTACTTCTACGAGCCACTGGGCTCGGCTCGTCCTACTGCTTCACCTGTGCTGCCTCAGATCACCCATACCCAACGTGTTATCCTCCGTCTTCCGGCGCAGTCCTCAAGAACTTGCTACTCTACGTGTACCGATGTGACTATCACCTCTTGTCTAATCTCCGTCAGCAGATTTTCATGGAACTTCATGCATGGGATGGGTAGGTTCTCCTGCTTCGGGCGCAGACTTTATGGACTTGTATTCGCTGCTTTGAGGAGCGCAGCCTTGGGCCTTTGGTGAGGTTTGTGGGCCAGCGGGAAAAGCTCGCATTTGCGCCGCACGAACACGACGCGTATTGAATGTATACTAAAAGCTCCTCGAGTTTACCCCCCAATTTCTCCCAGGGCTGTACTTGATGTCCTGACGAGCTCAAAGCATGGATCTCAAAGAGCATGGCCTAGATGAATATGAAATACTATGTGCAATTTGAGTAAATGGGCCACGTTCCAGAGGCCAAGGAGACGTACGTACGTATAACATGATCTTCCAGTACGTTGAGCTGACTGGTGGATCACTCATGGGCCATATCATATTGTCCGGTATTCTCAGGCCCATCGCCATGTCCATTCAACGACGAGCGGATGGTTTAAAAAGGATTGTGAGAAATATATTTGATCACATTACACGGATGTGCACGAGGAACGCTGGTTCACCGGTCATTGAGAAAACTAACGCAGAACGATAGTACGCCTTTAGTGTGGGGGAATGAGTCGCTGGATGGCAACGAGATTAAAGCCGTACTGATTGTGACCTCCTGTGCTCCCAGTCCCCCACTCCTCTCTGTGCTCATACACAAATTAACATTGGAGGGGCCCTGCTTCTAAACGTACTGTCCCACATGTTGTCGCGCCGTATTTGCATGGATCATGACTAGTGTGCTCGCAAGAGGAGTCATTCGTGCCGCAGCTGGTCAGTGGGCATCCTCTCGGTGCCGTCGTATCTCGTCGCCAGATGAGTTCACCGGGTTTGAAGGTGAAATATGCAGTATTCCTGAGCCGAGTCCTTTTGAAAGCTTCACGGTCGAATGCGCGTATCGCGATCGCCTGCGGTGAATGTGATGGAGCCGTATGTAACTGCCGAGCGCCCGTCAGCATCCCGCCCGAGCTGTCTGCCGTAGCCCGCACAGCAGCTCGTGGCCCCGACCTGTCCTATCTCATCACTCTCATGCCCTCGACCGTCTGACGAGTCTCGGTGTGCGATAAGCTCTTCTAATCTCTTGCTTAATCATGAGTAATAACGGAGGAGGGAGCGGAGAGCCTCGTCCTTATCACGGCTTGTCCGCGCGCACGTCTGTATCTTCACTGCGAGGCATGTCGCAGCTCTCCGGGGCCAGCACCCCCAGCGGCATCAAGACACCTCGGACGCCCGCCCTTCAGAGAGAAGAGGCGGACCTGTTGAGAGGAGACGTCGAGCAGCAGCAGGAGTACGGGACGATGCAGGCGCGAGGTGGGTGGTCGTTCTGGCTTGTCGAGGTTTTAGTGATGTCGTGGTTGTCCCACTTTTTGACCACCAACGGATTCTCCTCGGTGCTTGTTTTTGGTTCGGTTGTGAACCCGAGGCCTGGGTATATGCGCGGGTCTCTCACCTGCAACGACTTATCAGATATTCCAAACTCGGTCAGCCTGCATATACTCTGATGAGGCTGACTCGCGCTTGAGCGTTGCATATATGGTTGTGAATTTCAGGTTTGGAACCCAAAAAACATGCGCTGATTTATCTCAGCGTGGGCAGCGAAAGAATATACTCGTTTGACTCTGAAGAGGAGGTGTCGCGCATATGCTGACGCTCTCGCTCTTCCTCATGTTTAGATTCTGGAATTAAATCAACGCATAGGAGGACACCTACCTGGGCAAAAGTAAACTACTATATCCCTTCAACCGCTTGGATACCCAGATATTCATGGTCTCTGTACGTACTTTGTATGTTCTCCCATAAAATTCCGCTGATTAGCATGTAGCTTGGGTGGAGACGTGCTTTCGGGTCTAACGGTAGCATGTATGCTCATTCCGACAGCAATATCCTACGCCACGTCACTGGCGAAGTTGAGCCCCATAACTGGACTCGTACGTTCCTCGAAGCGACTTGGATCGTCGTCTGCTAATACCCCACGTCGCAGTTTTCCGCAGCCGTCCCGGGCCTCGTATATGCGCTGCTGGGCACGTCCCGCCAGCTGAATGTTTCACCGGAAGCTTCGCTCTCATTGCTCATCGGGCAAGCTATTGACGACTTTTTGCATGACCCACACTTCCAAAGCTTTGATCGCGAGACAATCGGCATTGCGGTGTCGACTGTGATCACGTTCCAGGTCAGTCCCATAGCATCTCCGCTTAGGGGCTATGCTAATAGTAGGAATGAACGCTTGTAGGTCGGGCTGCTCAGTCTTGCGCTGGGTCTCTTCCGGCTCGGATTCCTGGATGTTGTGCTCAGTCGTGCGTTGCTGCGGGGTTTTGTTTCGGCCATGGCCATCGTCATCATGATGTATGTGTTATCCACACATCTCATTAGTCCCGAAATGACCTCTGTTCCTGGTCAGCGAACAACTTATCCCGATGTTCGGCCTGGGGAAGTTGCAGCACGAATATCAATTGCATACGACACTAGATAAATTCATGTTCATCATCAACAATGTATGGACGCATGGCCACCAGCTCACCATGATTATCAGCTTTGGTGCTCTAGCCATCCTGGTCCTTGTGCGGACCCTGAAGGGCGCATTCAAACGATACCCTATCATTTATAGATTACCAGAGGTTCTAATCGTGGTCGTCTGCTCGTCGAGTAAGTCACCTCGAAAATGCATGGTTGTTCTGATTGAGTCAATGTCCCTCTACAGTAATGTCAGATGAATGGGACTGGGACGAACGAGGTGTAGATATTCTTGGGAGCGTTCCGATCAATACGGGTTCATCGTTAATCCAGTTCCCTCTGGGAAAGATGACGTTGCAATTCCTGCGGCGGACAACGTCCCTCTCAGTGTAAGAATCTCTGGACACTGACTGAGCTATGCTGACAGTGGCCCCAGTGTTTGTGTTATTATAGGCTTTCTTGATAGCATCGTCGCCGCCAAGCAAAATGCGGGGCTGTATGGTTACAGTATCAGTCCCAATCGCGAGCTCGTCGCACTTGGAGCTGGGAATCTTGCGGCGTCTTTTGTCCCCGGAACACTTCCGGCATTTGGGTCTATCACTCGGTGAGTCGATGAATGGGACACCTTGTGGCGGTTAAGGGGCAGTTTATTGACATCCCGTCACACAAGATCAAAGATCAACGGCGAAGTGGGTGCAAGAACACAGATGGCATCTATTATCTGCTCCGGAGTGGTCCTCCTAGCGGTATTTTACATTCTCCCATGGCTATATTACCTGCCAAAATGTGTTCTTGGCTCAGTGTAAGTGTTGCTTTCCTGCTCCGTAGGGTCATGCGCAGCTCAACAAGATGTCTAGAATTACGCTTGTGGTGTTCTCCCTGTTGGCAGAAGTCCCCCACGACCTCAGGTTCTACTGGGGGTGAGTGTGGCGCGTTCTTTGATTCTTTGACGGGACTTCTATCTCAAGCTCCCTGTCTCCAGACTTCGCAGTTGGGTGGATCTCTCCCTGATGGCCCTAACATTCGTTTTGACCATCTTCTGGAACTTGGAGATTGGTATTGCAGTGAGCTTAGTTATATCATTGCTTCTAGTTGTCCATCGTTCCTCCAAGACTCGCATGACAATTTTGGTACGACTGCATCATTCTTTATTATCAACAAGTCTTACCAACCGTCGTAGGGTCGTATTCCTGGGACGGATGTTTGGAAACCCGTAGATGAGAATCCTGAAGCACAGGAAGACGCTGCTGGTGTGCTAATTGTACGCATCAGAGAGAATTTAGATTTTGGTAAGCCTTTCCCTACGGTATTCGTGCGCTTCCACTCACGGTATCTATGTTTCAGCAAACACCGCGCAGCTGAAAGGTATTAGTCATTGGCCTTCTGAACGCCTCTGTGGCTGAAATTGTGCTATTAGAGCGTCTGCGCCGACTGGAATTGTATGGCGTCAATAAGCATCACCCGTCGGACGAGCCAAGTCGAGAAAATGCTAGTGTGCTTGTCTTCCACCTGGCAGATGTGGATAGCGTCGATGCCTCGTGCGTAGCACCCATCTTCCACATCTTGTGCACATCTCTCACGTCTGTCGGACTTGCAGTGCCGCCCAGATATTCTACGAGCTAGTCGAGACATATCAGGTCCGTCCGTTCTTCGCTTTGTATTTTTGGCGCTCGCTAACGTCGGGCCCGCATGCTGCAGAGTCGGGGGGTGGGTCTGTACGTTACGCACCTGAAGGGTCGTCCGCGTGCGGTCTTTAAGCGGGCCGGGATCGTCAAGTTGCTGGGCGATGATGCGTTCTGCAAGGACGTCGCGAGCGCGATGGTCCGCATCGAGCAGGCTACGCGGAGCCGGCAGGAGCAAGAGCGGTGGTAGTGGCGGGGCGCATGCCTGTGACGACATATTTCCTTACGACCTAATGCTCGTATGATGTATGAGATATTTCGGGACGGAGCGACCCAATGCAGCGTCCATGACGACAATCTATCGCATTGATGTGTTCCGAGAGCGTGCGGTGTTGCAGTCAATGGATCGCCTGGGAGCATTCCTGCCCATCCACACGGCGGCACCATGAGGCTACGGGAGGTTTGATGGCACCAGCCATGGGCATTTGGGATCGCAGGGTAGCAATCGCGCACCGTCTATTTTGGCATTGGCAAGCGACCAGGCATGGGGAGCGGACGCCGTGTGGCCCGATGAGTCATGGCCGGCATTCACACACGCGCAGGGGCGATGTAATACGCAGCAGCGATAAGTAAACGTACATGCACACAGTCAAAGACAGCGTGTGGTGCACCAATATATGGTACAGGGAACGAAGATAATAAAAACGAAAAAAAAGATAAATGAGCGCTTGTGGGTGTCCAATGCAGCACGGGGAACGAAGATGTACAAGTACAGTCGTCAGTGATCGTGAGGGGTGCCGTGGAGATGATAAATGAGTAGATGAAGTTATCGATGTCCGCAGAAAAACCATCTATGCCGCTCGCCGGGGAAACTTAAACGTCCTGCCAAAGGGGACGCGCAGAGATATGCAGTGGTGTGGTGGGGTACTCGGGAGCGTGAGTGCGTCGCTCGAAAAGCGGGAAATTCTAATCTTTGGGCACGCGCGTCGGTATCGGGGATAAGGCGGAGGGCGGGCTGGGGCTCACCTCAGCGGGACTCAGGATCTTGCTCGCGGTGTCAACGGGGACATCCGGGCGCGGCCTCGGGCCTCTTACGCGGCGTGGGACAGGTCTTGCACGGACGGGCCGAAGGGGCTCCTCAACAGACTCCCAGCACAGTGAGTCGAATGCCTGCCATGGGTCTGCCAGAACGTCTTCGTCAATTCCCTCGAGACAATAATCGAGTTCCACAGGCTCGAGAACGACGGCAACGCAGTCGGCTTCGGACTGCGCGGAATGTGAAGTCTGCGAACGCAGAGACGTGGAGGAGGACAGAGTTAGCTTGGCATCGTCGTCGCAGATCGAGGACGGAGCAGTGGAGGTGGTGGACTGCTTGCGATTGTGAATAAATAGGGATGAGGAGTGTGAGAATACTGAGCTCGTGGAGCTGCAAGACATAGGGCTATTAGGGTGAGGGTCGTCTGCCAGGGGCACTTCTGGTTCACTGTCGCCGTAACGACTTTCTTCTTCAATATCGTCTGGCACTGGACTGATAGTGGCTTGGACACTCCTCGCAGAAGAAGGCTCGTCACCCAAAGGCGTGAAGAGGAATCCCCTCTGAGTCGAGTCCCACTCTGCGGTGAAGGTAAGCGAGGTCGAAGGACCTGGTGTGGTTGGTGGCATCGGAGACGCGGGCAGGACCAAGTGTACGCCTTTCAACATTGCTCGTCGTCGCATCTTCTTGATATTCAAAGGTGCCACCGGGGCCGCCTGGAGTACAAGTCAGCACAAAGTACGGCAGACTATCCATGACATACAGATATGATCTTCCTGGAGATATCAACCCTCTGGTTAGTGACTTCACGCAGTCGTGAACCATTTGTCCTTCGCCCGAGGACAGGGGAATCGACCATGCTCCAGGCATTATCCGTGCTCGACGGAGACGACACAAGATCAACGAAAAGCTCAGGTCGCGCGGCGACCATGTCCAGCGAACCCTCGAAACGTCGTCGGTGGGCCATTGCAGGCATGGCAAGCAAGGCAATAAAAAAGGAGGACGGATAACAATCCGGGCCGAAGGGCAAAAGAGAACGAAGAAAGGCGAAGGCAAGAAAGGACCCACTTGGAAAAGGAACCCTATAGATATGGGCCCGGTGAAGATCACAGGAAGGCACGACACAAGAAGTGACAGATGATGGGCGCGGTAGCGACCAGCGAGGGAAGAGAAGTTGTCTGCCTGTTTAAATACGACACTCGAGTGGCGCGGTGCCTCGCGTCTAGCACATTGTCAATGTTCAACATAGGATGCTGCGCCATTGTTCGATACTTCAAGAACAAAGGATGGCTACAAAGGCAACCGTGAGGTCGCAGCCCGCGGTAGACTGACGAAATATCAGCCACATCTGTGCATTGTGGCAACCTGGCTCGAGCCAATGCATGATCACATGATTGTCACACGTCGAGGTAGCCTCTCGACGGTGCATGATGGGCGTGGAACCTGTGACGGCATGTCCATCAGAGTAAATACGGACAGAAGTATATTCAGCAGAGCCTCCGGAATGGGTACCAAATGAAGGGCGCACCGGGCCACTGGGGGGTCGGGATTGACTTGTGACAGACATTAGCGCGCAGAGGCGCGGAGCCAGACATGAGCAGACATGCGAAATGCAGCGTGTGTGCGCACCACTTGACAGGAGTAAACAGGCAGTGATCTCATCAGAACGAAGCAACCCAACACGATACTCGGCACAGCGTAGGAGGTGGTCGTATAAGCGATGGGGAACCAAACTGATTGATAGTAGAACATACGATTGAGACGCTTGGCCAGAAATTGTTAATCGGGAAATTCACGCCGGCATCTCAAGGAGAACGTAATATTCTACCCAAGGAAATCGCACTCCTGCCCTCGGCCATTAGGACCGCCTCTCCCAGCGCACCCCACGAGTCTTCGTCCAGCTTGCGCCATTTGTCTTTCCTGTCCTCCCTCCTGTCTGCTCGAGAGCCTAGTTTGATAATCCGAGGTTTATAACGCTCTGAATCCTGGGGCAACTGAGGATTCCACCACTGTCTCTCGAGAATACTACCGGCTTTGATGTCCCGGAAGCGGGGATGCTCCTTCTGCAGAAAATTCAGATTACGAGTGAGGCGGTGCGGCAGACCACGCGATTGGGCAGAGACGAGCAGGAGAGATAGAGTGTTGTCGGCTACGCACCCAACGCAGTCAGGTTACGCGCTGATGAAACAGAAGGTTACTTACTTCTTTGCTCCCACGCGCTGTACCAGTGCCGGAGATGTTTGCGTTCGTGAGCATCAAGCCCCCGGTCTTCCAATCTGTGGAGAACCTGCGCGGCACCGGAAAATGTTGGTCTCCATAGCTCTCGCAGCCGCTGTGCAGCAGACCGTTTGTTTAGCACTGATGCAGCCAACGTTCGCAAGAAGAGCCGATAGAGACTAGTGAACGCCTTGGGCAACCTGCCCGACGCCACAGCCACAGGACTAGCTACAGCCTCTCGAGGCATGCTATGCCCACAAAGCGAACGACACAGTACACAGCAAGCTGAGACAGAGACCTGCTTAAATGCGCACTTGCAGCGAAGGTGGAAGATGGGTGCAGCCTGAAGCGCCAACCCTGGTTTACCACGACAAGTCCTCGGATAAGTCCCCAAGTATTCATCCAGCGCAGGTTATCGGCAAAACATATGATTGGACGCCACCGCGCACTCTCTCCAGAAAAGGCAGCTGCCATCGTCGTGGCGGTCTCGCTTCCACATCGCTTGACGCTCTAACACTAGGTTTAGTTTCACTACAGCAATCTCAAAATCAATATACTGCCGCCCTTGAGAAATACAATGGATCATGGGTGGAACAGGCTGGTGCTAGTACCATGGCGGTTCGGGTGTTGCCCGGGTGTTTCCCCGTGTGAGTTGACTTCTTCCTCGAGTTGGTGATGACTGGACTCAGACAGTATATTCATCCCTCTCAAAAGGAGCTTATTGTGACAATGTCAAGTCATATGCCAAACAAAAAAATCACCCGCGCTACTGGTATCAATGAACCGTACATAAATTGTACAGAATTTCGCCATTATTTTTATCTCTGCTATCCTCAATGAGTGCAACCCAACACTGAGCGGCCTGCCACCTAGAGCATCAAGCTGCCATCAGCCGAGGTGCCACCATGCTCCATTGTATTTTCCCAAGGGTGGCACATCGATTTTGAGATTGCTTTAAAAGCACCACTTACTACACGCTCAATGTGTACAAACTCTATCACCAGCCTCGGGGTTCAAGCTGTCTGTCCAACGCAAAGCGCGGTGAAGCGAGACCATCGGCAGCAGGGCGACAACTTTGACACGTCGTGCGAACCAGTGAGTCTCATCTCGCGCGCTCAGTATAATTCTATCAGAGACCAGTGTGCTCTAAAAATCGTAGGGAATATGCTTGCCCGGGAAGAGTATCATGCGGTCTTCTTTCCGGCATCAGCGGATCACATGCAAAATGGTAAAGCTATTGCATACGCTTCAGAAACAGCCTTGTCTGGTAGCGCCACCATGCCAGCCCCAAGCTCAGGTGCCCGGGCTCTGACCGAGCGGCTCAGTCCCTTTTCATCGTCCTATTTTTAGGGCATAGGCTAGATGCTTGTGTGGGACCGGTACAGGACCGAAGTGCCCGTCCAATATGCACTCGGCGCACCGCTTCAAATGCCCCCCCGCCCCTTGGGCCCGGACTCCGCGAATATACGACACAGTCCTCTCTCTACTCATCCCGCTCGCGACCAGAATGCTTACCGCGGGCCTTCATTTGTCCAAGCAGAGTAGATTTTCAGAGGTCACCACGGTCCGATGAACCCCACGTCGACTGTGTATCCCTACGTTCATACTGTTGGCACCTAGCGACCTTTGCTGAAACTCATAGACGTTCATAGCGGTGACGTCGTCATAACAAGGTTGATGTGTGCTAGGCAACGAAGTTACACTACATCGGAGCGCCGCGGCCGGCTCCACAGGATGCAAGCCGCATGTCATAAAACAAGGTTTGGCGCTCTCCGCGAGACCACAAGAACTCGTGCCATGAGCGTGCGGGCCTTTATCCTAGACGCTATCTCATATCTACCGGGGATTTGGGCGGTCATATGAGGTCCACTCTCGCCTTGTCAATGTCCGGGGCCGCCGGGCGTGGGATTCAGTTGGATATCCTCTGTGCGTTCGTTTCCTTCCGGGGTCTTGATCCGTTCTCTAGACGTTCATTCTCAATGTTGCGATAGCCTATTGGTCTGGGGCCAAGTTGCCGGTTCGTTCAGCCCAACAACATCGATTCCGAGGACATCATGTTTCATTCCTCGCCGCATGCGGCAGTGTACCGTGTGGTAGGGTGTAGTCATGCCAGAAGCACAAAGCACCTCCACGACTCATCACTGTGTGAATATTCTGCTTTACTAGATCTCCCACATCGTGCTCGCACAGACAAAGCAAGATATCTGGGTGGCCAAGGCCAAGGCACCAATGATACGGTATAAAACTAACAGCGAAGTGCACATTGATTTATCGGATCGACGTCTGACTACAGCTGTCCAACTTAGCCCACCCGCCCTGCAAAGCGAATTCGGGATTCATTATGAATGCGCAGCAGACACAGCTTCCCAGCGTACACTTAGTCGATATACCACCACAGGGGGCGCAGCAGAAGCAGCAAGAACTGCCAATTGTCAACGGGGTCAGTCCACTCACTACACAACTCTATGCCAAACCATTCACAGCATCGCCACAGATCATTCCATACACTGAGGCAAGAAGGGATGGTTCAGCCTGCTCAGCCACGCCCTTCAGCCCATTCCTCATCCACAGCGGCACAGACCCATCCGCCGACGACACAGGCACCTGGACGTCCATCTCCGACACTCGCACCTCGTCGTCTTCGTACTGGGAGCCCGATCCCCATGGCGACGCGCCAAATACCGACACCGAGCCCTCCGAGCTGCGCGAGTCGTTCAGCTTCCGCGGCGCGCAGTACGACGTCCAGCGCACCATCCTCCGTCCAAACCCGCGCTTCGCCCTCCCACCGCGGTCGAGCGCGCCCGGACCTCCCGCGCCTCTCCAGCGCGATTCTGCGGCAGGGGACGCCACAGACGCGGACGACGCGCCCCGCGAGATGCCGCCGAGGGACGCGGCGGCGCGCGGGGTGAAGCGGGTCACGGAGTGGCGCAACTTTGAGGAGGACGTCGCGTTCCGCGAGCACGAGTACCTGCTCGAGCAGGCGGGCTGCGGCCGCGTCGAGATCTGGGTGACCGAGGAGCGCCGGCAGCAGAACGGGCGGGAGGGCGAGGGCCGGCCGCGCGTGTTCTTTCCTCTTCTCAGCCCAAGCACCAGGTGAGACGTCTGCGCCCGGGTGGGCTGTCGCGGCTGGGATAGATTTTTATACAGTTTGTGGTCGTTATCTCCCGAGTAACCCGCTTGCGGATTGTTGTAGTTTCGCCGCCCTTTGTTGTTCGGATGCCTCCCTGTTTAGGCTCCTTTGTCCGCACTTGGGCCACGGCGCATGTAGTTGTGCAGTCGACTCAGTCTGCCTGCAATATATATTGCATATCATCGCGAGCCGTACACCATTGCATGTATAACACAAAAGCAGTCCAGGGATACGGCACACGGCCGAGGTACGGTCCGTCACAATGTATGACCAGCGATATGAGCGGTGTGCTATCGAATAATCTTTAGAACCAGCCTACACGAGCACAACAACAATGGGCTTTGGTAATTTTCTCAGTAGAGGTGAGCATGGGAACGAAGTACTACACTACACAGTGGGTGACAGCCCAAAAAGAACATAAAAAAAACCAAGAGAGTAGAGGAGGAATCTACGGAGCAGCATCAGCTACCGCGCATGGCCGATCATGCGCACTTACTATTGTACACCCGCCATCCCTTTCGTGGCAGGGTACGCGCCCGGTGGGCCAGCGACTGCCAAAGGCATAAACGAGGAGTACGGCATGGCCGGATGAGGGGGGTGGTACATCGCGATAGCGGCCGCATACGCGCGCCACTGCTGCGCCTGCATCTGTTGCTGGATGTGCATCTGCACGGGATCGACAGGCGGGGGTGGATAAAGTGCAGAAAACGGCGACAGCGGCACGCCTGTAGGGGGCGGCGGGAACATGAGCGCGCTCGCACTCTGCGGGGTCTGCGGGCCGAAACTCGACAGAGATGTTGCGGGCGAAAACGTGGTAGAGCTGCACGCAGACGTCGATCCTGTCATCGAGCTCGTACTACTCGACGACCGCTTATGTCCACTTTTCTGCGCGCGTTTGCTCGTGGGGCGTGCGGGGGTCGTCGGATTGGCGCTGGGAAGACCCGCAATCCAGCCGTCGTCGTTGCTCAGGGAAGACTCAGATCCTCGGACCCACCCATCAACAGCATCAGGGGAGCCAGCTTCTGCTCGCGTCGGCGCAGGACAGCCACCTTGATCGTTTGACTTCTCTTTCGACTTGACCGTCTGAGAAGCAGGACCGGCTGGAGACTTATCCTCCGACTCCTTTCCTGCTCTTCCTCCCGCCTTCTTACCATTCCACCGCCCAGATCGCAGTCGATCCACAATTTCCCTCGTCTTTGATGTGTTGCGTGATCTCGCACGAACAGAGCCCGATCCATCCGAGAGAAACGCCGGCAGCAGGTCTGCGGACGCTCGACGAGAAGCGGCATTGCGCGACAGCGCAGGGTCTGCAGCTTGACTGTATGGGGACGCACCGGTAACCGGATGGTAAAACCCATCCCCATCCTTCTGCAGCGGTAGCTGAAGTTTAGGCGGAGAGGCTGCTGGATTGTTCGGGATCAAAGACGGGAACGCAAACTCGTACGTGGGAGATGGCGAACGCAGGCCCGAACCGGAGCTTGACGACGGAGACGAGGTTGGGATGGTTGGTATAAACGACATGGCAGACGCATTCAGCTGCTTGTTGGAGTGAGGCGATGCAAGTCCTGCTCGGGGCGTCGACGGCAGAGGGTCCGACTCAACCGAGAGCTCGGATTCGGTTAAATCAACGACGTCCGAATTCGGGCTGTCCAATAGGTTGAGATCCCACATCTTGCTTTCTCGTCCCGGAGTGCTAAGCGTGATATTCTCCAAGGGCATTGTCAATCGCTCCAACACCCCGCCCAACAACGCTTGCACCTGGTCGTTCCAGCGCTCCTGCGACACCGGTAGGTCCTCCTCGCCGAGTGTGCCGCTGGAAGGGGGTTCGGACGTAGCTGCGACAGGGATGTGTTCGATACCCACAGATTCCTCGTATAGCCGTAGCACCTGCTCAGCCCCCCTGACCCCCACAAGACTGGAGCTGAGCTCTAAGTCTTCCGGCGAGACCTTCGCCACCCATTCCTTATGCCTAGTGCGATAGAGCAAGTCATGGTAGTGAGGTGGCCTGGGATGCAAACCAGCGACCGGTTTGGCTGGGGACGATCGCGGACGCTTCTTGGGATAGGCCCAGGAGATGGTGCGATAGGACACCTTCCATGTGCCCACTGGAGCCGCCGACCGTATTCGAGCGTTTGAGGCAGCGTCTGGGCCGCTGCCAGACATCAGGCCGAAGACAATGAGGGTGGTCGAATCGACGAACTCGAGAAAGCAAAACAAAGCAAGTGAGAGGGTGGACACGTCAAGTGGCAGGGAGTGGTGGAGAGTGGTGCTCCCAGGGCTCTAACACCGCCTCCGTTCTAGACCGAGCCAGTGCACAGAGGATGAGAACAAAGACGACGATGAGTATAATGGAGCCTGAGGTTGCTGGCTATGGCTTATCAGTTGGGAATCGAGAGCATGTGTTCGTCGACCACGGAGGAAAACGCCTTGCTGCCGTCAGTCGCTGCAATTAGATAAGCGGGTGCAGGCCCTCGTGTTTGTTGCCGGTGATAGACAGTGCAGTGCGTGAAGGGCGACGACGACAGCCCGTCGTCGGGTGGAGAACGGCGCAAAGAATCAAGTCGTCGGCGAGGACGACAGTGACGACAAAGGCGGCGACGAGTCAGAGTAGCGGACCTTACATAAGCACGGGTTAATAAGCACCGACTTGCCCCAAAATGGCGAATCCCGCCAAGCGCAAGATAATAGATTCAACATGGAAATACGGTACAGATGGTAAATAATGCGACAAAAACGAGATCAGTCATCCCACTGCGGCAACGGTGGGCGGGGCGGCAGTCTACTGCGAAGCGGCTTGCCTTGCAATTTCTCGTAATCGCTCAGATATCGACCGGCCTCGCGTGTCAGACACCTTTGCCTAAAGGCCTGGAGCTCATCAGACGCTACCTGCTGCCTTTGAGGCTCAGTTGCGATTCTCCGATCACGAGTAAGTGGGTCAGCGTGTACGTCTTTCGAGTTTTGTGGCCGGTTGAAGCGATTGAGCAAAGCTTCGACACTTTCCGCAGCCGACAGAGGAGCATTTGACACCGCCCGAAGATGAGAGTATGCATTTGTCAGTCGCTACGAACAAGATACATCAGACACGGAGTGAGATAATTCCCGGTAAGTGATCACTTACAGAACTCTGACCAAGATCAGTCTCTTGTCTGTTCGCGCCACGGCATTTACTTGGAATTGGCGGACGTCGGGACTTGGGCTTCAGAAACGCTTTCGTAGGACTTGGTGCCGGAGCTTCATAATCTGCGGATAGAGAGATGTCACCAAACCCGGAAATGGTGTATTCATCATCACTGTTATTCGCGTCGTCGATTTCAGATAATTTCTGGACAGATGTCTCGCCGTGAGAAGCGAGTTGGGTGGACGATAGGCCGTGTTTATCATTCTTTCGATTCGATCTCACACAAGAATTTCCCTTGGACTACAACAAGACGTCAGCACAGTAAGCGGATGCCAAGGGAAGACAGACGTACAGCACTGCGTTGAGACATGACGGTAGACAAATTGAAGTCGGCATATGCTCAGTGGAGAAACTACTTACTTTTATATCGACCATCGAGCCACAGTCTCGACAAAGCGTGAGCTACGTCGCGCCACAATCGCGCTCGAACAAAGCAACACTATTATTGGGGCGAAACCTTTCCGGCTAGTCCGATGGCAGATATCCGATTAACGTTTGCGCCTCTTCCTCCCCAGCTGTCTTCATGCTGGAGAACAGAGATCTCGAGGATATCGAGCGTTGAATCCCGTGGTCGTACCTCAATCTCGACACGGAGACAAGTGAGTAATCTTGATTTTCAAGGTCAAGCGGCTCGTCGGTGCCTGTGGCCAAGCTGTGGTTCAGCCTGTGGCTGGACACGAAAGAGCCACGTGATCGTGACTCGACGCGCCGCATGCCAACGCGTTTCCCGGAGACCACTGCAAACTGCTACTCTCACTCGCGGAATCTGCTTGTTGTTCTACAGTCAACCATTGATTTTGACACTGCATAGATAATGGAAATAAACGCGCTGCAACACAAGCCACATAATACCTCAACCCATCGACTACTCTATCGTGGAGCTCTTTCTCTTCCCGACTCGCATATGCTTTTGGACGGGCTAAGCTTCACTGTTAGTTCACATACTGGAGAAAGCTCTTCTACTACTTATGGGGTAGATCTTTTAAATAACCCCCTCACGCTGGCGCTGGAGAGTATGCGCGGTCGGAACCTCCACTTCCTAGGTACTGCTAGCCTATCAGAGGTGTGGATTGACGCAAAGAGTGACGGAGTGGTTAGCGTGTGAGTACACAGGTTCATTTGCGGCGTATATGTGGCTTAATTGACACTCCGTTCGTGCAAAGAGACATTCATCCACAGGCTGCTTTGAGTCGGATGTACTTCGAGGCGCTGTTTTGCCTAGAGGGTAGCATGACACTTGACGGAAAAAGCGAGTATGGCATGCGGGTTAGCTTGAGCGATAGTGGTATGTCATTTTCGAGTATGGAATGTGACGACCGAGTGATAGCACTCCGCTTGCTCCAGATGATTCGGACGCATCCGACATTCTCATATATGCCCAACTACCACCGAACGGCCCTGTACCCGCATACGGCGCGTTAGATCTTCCTTCAACGTCGACCTCTGCACCAAATTCTCTCCGCCTCATTGCAGCGCGCATCCTTCCCGGCCCTCCCCCCGCGCCCGCACCTCCCCGGCCGAGACCCGACGACCCTACCCCGCGTTTACCACCCTCTGCTTCAAAACGAAAACGCGACCAGTCGCCATCTGATGAAAGGAAACGGACGAAATCGGGCAGAGAATCCAGTAGCAAGACCAAGGGAAAGGCTCTCGAGATCAGCGAGGATGCAGAGACTCTGAGGCTAGCGAGAGAAACGATGAGGCGATTACCAAAGCCCGGCACATCTGTGTCACGCATTGCGGGAGGAAGAACAGCGTCAAGGACGAAGGATTCTAAGGAGTTCAAAATTCCAAAAGTGCCCCACCGAACGTCAAAAGCTGATGTGAAGGCACATGGGGAAGGCTTTGGGTCTTCTAGCTCTCAGCCGCTAGAGGATCCGGAAGAACAGGGAAAAGCGAACAAACTGGTGCGCCTTCCTCTCATCGCGCCCATAGATGTCTCATGCCATCGTACTCGCAGGTGATTAAACAAGCGACCGTACTCTGCTTGGCCGACTATTCGATTGCGAAAGAAAATCCCGAGTACAAGGCTATCTATAACGCTATATATCAAGGCGTGTGCTTCGCTATGGTGAGTATACGCGTGAATTTTCTGGTCTGCTCGTCTTCATGGACTCTGCAGCGAGCACAGATGCGTACTGCCCCCGTCAACACTTGGATGGTTTACAGATTAGTCGATTCACACGCAAAGATGTATGTTCAAGTAGATGAATAATCGATCTACGCTGCAATTGGTTTCGGCGACTCGACCTACTTCCGGCAGCGTTGTGTCAAGGTGTAGTGACTCAACATTCCTCGCCAAGTTGTGGTTGTAGACTGTCTCCAGTGCCATAACTTACGATCCTACAATAATGATCTGCAGACCTGCAGCAACTTGACGAAACGCATCAATGAGGGCATCACGCCTTGGGGAAGATATCACATGTGAAGGATGTTGGACCACATGATGGCGGGAACCTTCTCACAAAATTTCTCCACTTGCTCTTTCATCTAGATCCTTGAGCAACTCCCATCAAATGCCAGTCAATTCGCTACCAGGTCATGGCCCAAAGGACCGAATA